AGCCCAATTTGGGAATGAGGGGATCAGAGTATTTCTCAATGGATGAATGAACAAATGAATGATGAATTCTATTGGTAAAGAAATACATATTTCTGACTCTTAACAAGGCAGAGGGGCAAAGGGATTCGGCCTCCCTGGGACCTTGAGTTGCTTCCTTCCCCCTTCTCTGCCAGATTCCCCAATTGGAAGGTAGGACTGGTGGTCTACGTGAACCCCGCAACTTCTGCCTGCCTTCATAATCAACACCACTAGGGGTCTGTGCTTTCTGTTTTCTCTGCCCATGCCTCCTCAAGATAGGGAAGAGAATTAAGATAAAAATCAATCACAATCCAGAAATTTGTTGTCAGTTTTAATAGGAGGGGTGGAGTGAAACAATTTAGAGAAACGTATAAAAAGACCTTTTACTTTTTTGCTGGAACATGATATGGTTTGTGCATAGCACATACATATTAAAAAATAGAAGCATCACATTTCACAAGCACATGACTGAACAGCTTCTGGGTTTTCCTATCTGCTGTACCCAAGTTTAAGGCAGCTTTGCACCCGGACCCAGCCTGAGGTACTTAACGATGTACAGAAAGAGAAAAACCACATCAAAACACAACTGTTTGGGGCTAGAATTTCAGTAGTTCAATGAGGTATACAAGAATGGTTCTTCAGGACAAGGCCCAAAGGACATATACAAATACTATAGTTTGTGCTTACACCTGAGTGGACAATTCCTCTTCCCAGAGCTGGAGAAGGATGTGAGTATGCCCCAGAGTATGGATAGCCAACATAGAACACCCAGGGGTGTTCAATCACTGAGCCACATTCCCAGTCTCTCTTTCCCCTTTTAAATATTTTATTTAGAGACAGGACCTCAGTGAGTTGCTTTGAACCTCACTAAGTTGCTGAGCTTGGCTTTGAACCCGGGATCCTACTGCCTAGTCTCTCCAGCTGGTAGGATTATAGGATGTACCACTGTGTCCAGCAAAACATTTGGTTTCTAAAACACATGCTATGTGGAAAAATAAAGTAGTTGATCCTATTGGCCTCCCCTACTCCTGGACTTTCCTGAGTCTGATGAGAAAATACACCAATGAGAGTTAACTCTCACTTGAGTATCTGGGCACAGTGGAGACCTCTATGGGGCAGAGGAAGAGAAAATGAAAGCAATATAAAATTTTCAGAGCTGTGTATAATGTCTGAACCTTGTTAACCAGAGTAGGTTTTCTGACAGCACTCTCACACACTCTCTGAGGATAGAAATGATGGGTTCAAATGGCCACATGTTGGGCTGGGTTTGTGGCTCGGCAGTAGAGTGCTCACCTAGCATGTGTGAGGTGCTGGGTGCGATTCTCAGCACCATATAAAGTAAAAAATAGACATTGTATCCACTTATAATTATAAATAAATAAATACATATATACATAGATAAATAAATAATAAATATATATATTTTTTTAAAATGGCCACATCATTTTTCTCCAAGAACCATCTGAACTTCATGGATAGACCAAAGACTATTAGCACCATTGAGCCTGGGGCCACTTCACACACTTTAAAAACATTCACAACCTATAATGTGTTTCAAGATCTGTGAGAGCAAAGCATGCTACTATCCGTCTTTAAAATCATTGTGTAACTTTGTGATAAGAAAATTAGTTTATGATTTCCTTTAGAAATAATTTTATTAAAGTCTCTATTAAGTCAGGCATGGTGACACATGCCAATAATCCAAGTTACTGGAGAAGCTGAAGCATAAGGATTCCAAGTTTTGGGACCACCCTCAGCAACTTAGACTCTGTCTCAAAATAAAATTTAGGAAGGGGCTAAGGGATAGTTTGGTTGTCAAGCACTTGCCTAACTTTAAAACCTGAAAGCTCTTTCAGTTTTCTTTTCATTTTAAAATCTTAATCACTAATTTATAAACCTCACATCTGTCCATTTCTACTCTCCTAGATTAGGGTGTCATCCTTAATTGTTTATGTGTCCTTATGGCTATAGTTTCTTTCTTACTTTTTATTTAATTTGTTTTACTTAGTTACACATGACAGTACAATTTCTTTCTTTCTGTGAATAAATATTTACATCAATTGTTCCCCTTCTCAGTTCTTAAAAACTTTTGGATGACTGAATTATTAAGTCTTAGTACTGGAAACAGGGTCTGGAACATGGCACACACACAGATATTTTTGACTGAATGATAAGACATTAGTAGCCAAGTAGAAGTCAGTATTAACACCTTCTTAAATACCCCAATGGCACTGACTCTCCCTTATTATTCATGAAATAGTGAATATTTCTCTTGCTGGAAAAAATATTGAATCCATCTTTTTATTTCTAGCCACCCAGATCTACTTCTCTTTGTCTTTTTGTTTGAGTTCTGGTTTTTCACCACCTAGTTTTAAACATTTGTCTTGATTTCATCCTGTTGTCTTGGAATTCCTAAGTCATGTCATTTGTTATTACACACCATCAATTCCCAAAAATGTAACAAGCAATTATTGGCTTCACGTTTTCCATGAAAACTAATACAACTACCTACTACATAGTTTCAGTATGAAAGCAAACTTAAAGGACATTCTAAAAGCTGGAAAAAAATCTGAATTTTATTTTTTAACAAAATGTGCTCTCTAACACACATCCTCTATTCCTTGGGGTCAGAGTAACATGTATAGCTCTAGCCCTGAGTCATCACCAAAAAGTTCTCTTATTCTCCCTCTCTTTTGAATATTTTTATCTAGTCAAAAATTGTATTCATTAAAGCAAAATGTCATAAGTTATTTCTATCTTTTCCAGTCAAATGCATGTGAATATTGGCTGCAACTTCTTGACTTACTTGGTATATACAAGTATATGTTAGAAATTTTTAAAAAGGCTAGTAGAGACATGCATAAAATCTGACTTAGTTTTAGCATTTTTATCTTGAGTAAAAAATGTAATTTCATTTAAATTTTTGAAATACTAAGAGTATAGTAAAATACATCATGGTGTGGTGAAGCTTGGCACAAGGAACACTGGTTTAAGGACTTTTGGTTCTTATACTATAAAGTTTATTAATATCAGCAACATATTTTTAGAAAGATTGAGGGATTATCTGAGTACCACTTACTGTGAAGTTAGATTTCTAATATGAGCTAATTTGTAAAGATTTTAAACTACAAAAAATGTTTTTTTCCTATTCATGTATAAGGTTTTAAATTTGGCTTATTTGATTTTACTTTAATTTGTTAAAATAGGTAATATACAACATGCTATGTCTCTCCAGCCTGGGAAAACTGGTTCTTCATTTGTTCCAATGTGTTATGTAATAATTGATATATATATGTATTGTCATGAAAAGGTTTGGGAAACATAAACTGTTAATTTTCCCTTTTCAGTGAGTAACATAATAATCAGCTTCATTGTACTTTTCAATGCATGTATAATCATATGTGTATATGTGTAGTTTTTTCACAAATGGTAACTTAACACACTTGGATCCTATATATTTTTTTGAACTTTTAAAGGAGCACCTTAGAAATTGCTCTCTGTCAGTGTATAAAAGTCACTTAATTGTTTTTTTGGTTATTAAATAAATATGTCATCTTTGCACAAATGGTAAGTTTTTAGGAAACATGGTTAATGTTTTTTTAAAGTAGGTGTATATTGTTTATGTGATGTCTATTTCAACAAAAACCGCTTTTAGAACTTTTAAAAATTACAACTGTTTATGTAACTGGTGTTATTTCCCAGTGCTACAGTTTTCCTGGTTAACAATTTTCTCTTCTTGGCTGAACTGTTGTGTTTCTTAGCTGGGCTTTTATTGTAAAAGTGGAATGTTTTTGATCAGATTGTATTTACATGACATCCTGGAACTGTGGCAGTCCCTCAAGTACATTGTACATACTTAAAATAGGATCACAAGTTGAAGGTCATACTGGGGTTGCAGCTCAGTTCTAAAGTGTCCCCAGGTTCAATTGTCAATAGTAAGTAGGTAAGTAAATAATAATGAAAACAAAAAAGATTGATAAGCTTTACATGATAAATTCCAGCCTACTTTAAACTCGGTTTTAACCAAGGTATGACCCTGTGCCTTCCCGTTTGGACCTCACCCCAGTGCCTTTGCCCCTCAGATTGGAAGGTGGCTATCCCCTGGGGCAGAGGGACAGCTAGGCTCTAAAGCCTCTTTCTTTCTTGACCTGTGATGTGAAGTCCTGGCCTTGAGCAGGATTGCGACATGAATGGAGGCTCTAGCTGCAATTCTGGGTTGTCTAGGCTTATAGAGTCCTGGGGCCCAGAAAGAGTGCATGGCAGAAGCAGAACCCTAAGAAAGAGAGGCACCAACAGCACTCTCAGAGACTAAGGGGCTCTTGGGCCTAGTGTCCCCTGGACAGCAAGGCAAGACTGTGGAGTGCAGTAGAGTAGCCTCAGTGCTGCTGAGTGCAGGCAGCGCTGGTCTGGCCTTGCAGGAGCTCAGAAAGGTCTTCTCTGCACTGAGCTCAGTATTTTAAAATTTGATTTATTTTATTATTATTATTTTTTTGGTACTGGGGGGTTGAACCCAGGGTGCTTAAGCACTGAGCCACATCCCCAGCCCCTTTTAAAATATTTTGTTCCAGACAGGGTCTCGCTGAGTTGCTAAGTAGTTTGGCAACTTGCTGAGACTGGCTTTGAACTCGACATCCTCCTGCCTCGGCCGCCAGAGACACTAGTGCTCCAGCTCGCCAGTTACTGATTTTTGATCTGGCACCAGGAGGCTTAAGTTTCATCCAGTTCCACCTGTGCCAAGCGGCAAGCTGTGCTTGGGGAACTCCTGGCCAGCTCTCCTTCTACAGTTATCTACTGGGACCTTGAGTTGCGCCAGGCTCTACTTCCTCTTCCAGCATCGCTGACTCTGGGACTCCACCTACACCTTCTAAGTGGGCAAAAGAGCCGGTGCTGACTGGAGCTCACGCGATGGATCTTGCAGGAGTGAAGTCAGTGCAGACGGTTAGAGACGGTTAGACAGATCCTGTGGCACTCCTGTGCACGTGCATGCACATGCACGTGTGAGCAACAACCATTTTTGCGGGAGTTGGCGCCCTGAGCAGAGCTGCGTCTGGACCTCAGCAGCGAAGAGGCTGAGAAGCGGCAGAGTGCAGGAGTAAGCCTCCAGACAAGTTGGGGGCATCCCTGAGCAGGTTTAGGGCCTGTGCCAGGTCTGCCCCTCTGTGCCTGGGTCCTGCCCTACGGGGAACTTGCCTCTTCCAACAGTTCTTCACACAGTAGGTGACCTCTGACCTCCACCCTCGCCCCTGGAGAAGGATGAACACCTTACTGAAGATCCCAGGCGTCATCCAAGTGCTAGATAGGATCGTGGTGGGCTACCATCCCACAGGCCGCCTACACAAAGCTGCCAGGGATGGCGACTTGGAGGAAGTGAGGCGTCTCCTTGTTGGAGGGAGCTGTCATGTCAATGACATAGATAAGAAGAACAGGTAATAGAGTCCAAGAGGCCGGCAGCCCCTGGTGCAAGGGACCTCATGGGGGAGGCAGAGCCCATGGAGAAGAAGCCAGCGTCAACCAGGCCATTCCCTGGAGGATAGGGCAGAAAGGTGGCCTTGTTTTACCTGGATGCTTGGCTTTAACAACCTCAGGGACTCTTTAGCACCTGTAGACCTTGGGGCAGTCTGATGCCCAGGCCCTCTTGTTAAGCAGCTACACGGAAAAAAAAAAAAAAAAAAAAAAAAGCCGGTTTCCCTAGTGCGGACATATCCCCTCAGGAGGCTGGCCAGCCAGCACTGCAGAGCTGCTCACCAAGGGGACAGAGCACAGTGGGCGCCAGGACCCCATTAAGGGGGCTGAGAAGCGGTGGGAGGGGCCGGCAGGGGGCGGGATCATGCTTCCTGACACATTGGGGGCAAAACCCAAAGCTGGGCAGTGTCTGGGCTAGGAGCTTTGCTGGGTCCACACTTCTGTCCCTGGGTCCTGCCCTAGGGGATATTTGCATTCTGTGCTTAGCAGCCTAGGGGAAAGAGCCAGGGAAGACATGGAAGGGTCAGCGAGAAGGATCATCTGCCTGAGGCTGGAGGGAGCTGACCTGTGTCTTCACCCAGCCTGGGCCTATGCCACGTTAGCCCTAACCCTAATCCTAACCCTAACCCTAATATTATGTCTCACTAAGAAGAATCAATAAAAAATAGAAAAAAATAAAAAGTATATTATAGTCCAGGTGGGAAAGTTCATTATATAAAAAAATCACTCATAATATAATTACACCACTATTCTTTATTGCTGTATACTTATGTTTACATTTTGTCTAATCTGCAGCCTTGTAAGGGCTTTTGATGTGGGCAGATGATTCTTTGTTCTCTGTTCTGATCAGTTTTGCAGTTTTTTACATTAGTTTTCTTAGGGTTGCCACTTCTACTCCTCTTTATGTGTTTCTTGCTTCTCATATACTTTACTTACTAGTTCATGTGTTCTCAGTGTCTCTTGACCAATCAACAATTTTCTTAGCAAGATGATTGAGAATCCCTGTTTCTTTTTCCTGCAAGTGCTAAGTTAACTTTAATGAGTTCTGAGACAGTAAAATAGAAGTAATGCATGGCAGCATTCACATTCTCCAAAGCACATTGTGGGTTTTCAATCTTGTCATCCCTTCAGGCTGACCACACTTAAGGAACATTCACTAAATGTTATGAATGCAAATCTGCAGATTTATGCTGTCCAGGTATCATTTTCTGTAGTTATCCATCCTGTTCTTTTGTTTATTTAGGCACAGAGATCAGAACATCTGTTCACAGCATCCAAATGGTACAGGCTCTCAGTCACCAGGGTCAAGATGACTGCAGCAGAGTATGCACAGGCTGCACAGACTGCAAGCTGCTGCCCTAATGCCCCTTCTCTGGCTTGTTCTCAGGAGACTTGGAATAGCCATTCTGGTGTGGTGTATTTTAAAAGAAATATTCATTATTACCAAAGTCTGAGCTCTTTCTATGGTTAACAGTTTCAAATAACCAAATAAAAATGTCAGATTAATCATTTTTGAGTTCTACATACAATCTTTTAGGATAATGATGACACTAAGAAAGTGTTTGTAATAAAGACTTGCCTGTCTGTGTACCAAATTCCTCATCAACTGTCACATGTTGTTTGCCAACAGACAAAAAGGCAAATAAATGAGTGGAACAGAATAAAACAAGAAACACCCAAATATCTGAAAAAGTTTAGAATGTGCTACTGATGACATAACATATTCGTAGAAAAATAATTATGTGTCAATGAAATACGTAATAATTGTTTGTAGAAAACTAGCTGGATTTTTATGTCACAAAAATAATTCCCTGATACAATATGGATTATTAATTTTAAATAATGCAAAATGAGAAAAATGTTAGAAGAAAATACAAATCTTTCTGTATTCATTTTATGTGGACAAAGTTCTTAGGAAAGAATGAACTGAAAAACAAGGCTTCCTTTTGTTCTTTTTCTCTTTTAATTTTTAATTTTGTTCCTGGGGTTTGATCCCATTACCTTGAGCTTCCTATTCGAGTGCTCTACCACTAAGCTGTATTCCAGAACACCTGAATCTTATAATTTAAATTAGGGAAAGTACTTTTTTTCAGATGCACAAGTGACCTGTGTATAGAGGAAAAAGGACTTTGTGTCCCTGGTAAGAGAAGGAATTTAAGTTTAATGATAAATGAAATACAGTTTTTAGCTACAATACTTGTGAGAATGAAGAGTAGTGGTACTTATGTTGCTGCTTAAGGGTTGAGTTCCTTATGAATTCTCAAATAAATGATAGTATTGTACATTTTAATGTTTATTTCTGTACATATCAATTTCTTTATACTATCTTTAGGATATTATAAAATATGCATGACTTAATATAGCAGTGTGTTAGAAAGGACTCATAGAATTAATTGTAGTCAGAAAATGCATTGCATTCCTAGCATGAAATATAATGTGTCCATTGAAGGAGGCAAATATATAGATGTATGTTGACCTAGGAAGATGTCTTTTTGAATATCAAGTGAAAATTAAGCTTGATTGTACAGATACACAAATAGATTGTGGTCTCATATTAGGCACAAATATGTACCAAATGTAGTAAAATTTATTATTTTCAGAATTCAGAAAGTAAAAATTTCTTCTTTCATTTAATGTTTATTTTATTTCCAATATTTGGCAATTCTTCCTTATCTTTCTGTTTGTTTCTACCTTAGTTTCTTTGACAGAAGTTAATATGCTCTGTATTAATGCAGTATTTTGACATTTTCTGTGTTCTGCTTGTTTTTAACTTCCATATGGGTAATTTTGGTAAAATTCCACATTGGCTTCTACTTTTCCTTTTTCTTAACTGTTATTTATACAATGAATATGAGTAAAATTTTAGTGAGAACTTCTTGTTAATAAAATAATCTTTGGGAGGAACAGGATATGAGTCTTGTTTCTGTAGATTACTATCTTCAGCCAACTTTTAGCCTCTTCAGAAGAGAAGGTAATCTTTTCATCTATGCTTGTAGATGTAAGTTCCTATACATTATATGTATGTTTCATTCCATAGAGATTTAGTTCATAAATGCAATTGTAGATTTATCATTTTGTTTTAGTTACATTCTTAAGAAAGTAAAAGAAAGCAAATATAAATACTGTGAAAGTATTGTTTTAATTTATTAAACTTTTGTTTAAAAATGCTGAACTCCCCACCAGGTACCTAAGTCTGCAATCCCAGCAACATGTGAGGCTGAGGCAGAAGGATCACAAGTTCAAAGCCAGTTTCAGCAATTTAGAAAGGCCCTTAGCAACTTAGGTAGACACCATCTCAAAATAAAAAATAAAAAGTGCTGTGGCTGTGGCTTAGTGTTTAAGTGCCCCTGTCGAGAATGACAAACAATCAAAAAATACCTTACACTGAACCCCCTCAAGTATACTTTGTCTGTTCTTTCATTTACTCACCATTCATATCCTGAATACCTATTATATAATTGACATATTTTACTATTTCTCAGGTCCTCCTTTCTTAAAAACTTCATGTTTCCCTGACTAGAGATTTAAAACTGAAATAAAAGAACTCAACTTGAAGTGAAGCATTTCCTCAGGCTTTTCAAACAAAAGCACTTCTGGAGATAAGAGTTTGTAAACTGCCCATTTGAAAAGTTAAGATCACATTAATACTGATACTAAGTATGGGACATATCTAATTTACTTAAGTGCTACAAATCTAAATACTGAACAAAGAAACATACTAATTCATTTGAATCATACATTCCTTTTGGCTTTATGTTTCTTGAAAAAAAAGAGAAAACTTTGCTTTAAGTTTGGTCTTTTGCTGTTTTCTTATTTAGCCCTCTTTATCTATAGTACTTTTATAACTGAAATTTATTTAAATGTCACTCATATGACTAGAACTGCCATTGACCAATTGTTTTATCACCTTTCACTTAAGGTAAGGCACCATAGATTGGTGATGGTTCTTTATTTTATGTATGAAGAAACATCTTAAACATTGAAATACTTAGTCCTTAAAATAAATCTGAAAAATTATTAACAATACACAACCAAAATCAAGATTCACTGGTGTCAGAAGTAATGATGCATACTTGTAATCCCAGTGATTTGGGAGGGAGGTGAGGCAGAAATATTGCAAGTTCAACATGAGCCTGAGCAACTTAGTGAGACCATAGCAGAAAATGAAAAATCAAAAGGGCTCTGGATATGGCTCAGTGTTGAGTGCCCTTCAGTTTGACCCTCAGCAGGGGGGATGGAGGGGGAAGGAAAGAAGTCAGTGGAAGAGGCAGATAGAATGAGTTGATCTTTAATTTATTTAGTAATAACAGCTAGTAAATATTGTTGTTTCTTCTGAAGAAATTATTTGAAGGGAAAGGAATTATATGCTATCTAATATTCACAATGGCATGAATAATTGTCTGTTTTAAATAATTGTCTGTTTTAAGTGGGAGCTCTATGACCTCCTAACAAATCTTACTTTTGTAGGACCCCTCTACATTATGCATGTGCCTATGGCCAGACAGAAGTGGTGGATTTTCTAGTAAAGAACAAATGCGACATTCACCTCTGTGACAGTGACAACAACACACCTCTGGTTAAGGTAGGTGTAGCAAAGTATTTCTGTGAGGCATAAACTATATTTACATGCTTAGAATAAAAATTGATTAATATTATTTAAATATAATTAGTAAATCCTATGGAATGTTTGTGTTGAATTCTTGAAATTGACAATCTATTTCTTGGTACCAAACCAACAGGCCATCCAACAGCAAGAAGAAGAATGTGCAACTATTCTTCTAGAAAATGGTGCCGATGTAAATGTTCAGGATCCCAATGGTGGAACTCCTCTCCACCATGCTGTCTGTACTAACAACACATCAGTGGCAGCAAAACTGCTTTTACATAAGGCAAATATTGAAGCTCAAAACAAGGTATACATCCCCCACCTTTATTCCCAAAATATTTGAAATACATTTGTTTTGACAGTGACATAAGTCAACAAATGTTCATAAGCAGGGTTTTCTTGAGTAGAAGGGTAGAAAATGTTGGAACTTTATTTATCTTATGGATATATTTAGTTAATATAAGTATATATAAATCGACTCCACATTTAAAATTCAGGAGAGTTGTGTGGAAATATGGAGTTCAAGCTTCTCTTGAAGAACCACATGAGGTCTCCTTTGAGCCCATGTTACTGGGTGCACTGTGCTCAGGTGCCCCTTTCATACCTGGCATTGGTGTTCCCCAGTTTTTGTTGGATAGCTACAGCATTCATTCACTTGGAACGCCATACTTTGCCCTATAAAAAGTTTTATAACTCCTGTTTTATATTATATTTTGTTTAAAATTTCATGGTTTTCATGGTAGTATCTATTTATAAGAATTGGCTTATGGAATGTATTAATCTCTTTCAAATGGAATTGAATTTAAGAATTTATAAACTGATGTTTTTTAAAACTTTTACTTATATGTAAGATGCATATTTCCATTAGAATTTCTATAAGCTTCATTAGGTTGCTCATAGTTAGAGGTGGATAGCATACACATTGTGCAAGCAGTATTACATCTTTGTCTTCAGCTTTGTCTCTTAAGCATGTGGGAGCTTTAGTCTTTTATGATGCTAAAATAATTCATGTAGATCAGTATGAATCTTTTTTTGATACACAAAATTCCTGAATTGCATTTTGTCTAAAATTATAAATAGCTTTAAGTAGCAATTCAAATGGAACTAGAATGAAAAAAGAAATTTGGTAATGTGGATGTGCAGTATGGTCCCAGGATGATTATTATGAATACATTTTGTATTAACTTTCTAAAATGTAAGATTAATATCTTTGATCTTATAATAGGAGAAAACACAGGTACCAAATGAATCAATTTGAAGCTTCTCTTTTTTATTGAATTATTTATGTATTCTAATTTGTTGTATATGACAGCAGGATGAAATTCATTTCATATTACACCCATAGAGCACATTTTTTCAAAGTCTCTGGTTGTAACCAAAGTATTTTCATACCATTAATGTCTTCATACATGTACTTAGGGTAATGATGTCTAACTCATTCCATTGTATTTTTTACACCCATGCCCCCTTCCTTCCTCTCCCTCCCCTTTGCCTTATCTAATGTTCCTCCATTCCTCCCATTTTTCCCCCACCATCACCATGATGAGTCAGCATCCTCATATCAAAGAAAACATTCAGCCTTTGTTTTTTGGGGCTTGGCTCACTTAGCATTATAGTCTCCAATGCCAACTCATTTTTACAAATTCCATATTTTATTCTCTTTTAATACTGAATAATATTCCATTGTGTATACATGCCAAAGTTTCCCTATCCATTCATCTACTGAAGGACATCTGGATTGGTTCTACAATTTAGGTATTGTGAATTATGCTGCTATAAGCACTAATGTGGCTGAATCACTATAGGATGCTGGTTTTATGTCCTTTGGGTATAAACTAAGGAGTGGGATAGCTGGGTCAAATGATGGTTCCATTCCAAATTTTTAAAAGGAATCTCCATACCTCTTTCCAAATTGGCTACACCAATTTGCAGTCCCTCCAACTATGTATAAGTGTGCCTTTCCCCCTACATGCTCGCCAGCACTTATTGTTGCTTGTCTTCTTGATAATTGCCATTCTGACGGGAGTGAGATGAAATCTTAGAGTATTTCTGATTTGCATTTCTCTAATTGCTAAAGATGGTGAACATTTTTTCATATATTTGTTGATTGATTGTACATCCTCTTCTGAGAAGTATCTGTTCAGTTCCTTGGCCCATTTATTGATTGGGTTATTTGGGTTTTTTTTTTTTTTGGTGTTGAAGTTTTTGAGTGCTTTATATATCCTAGAGATTAGTGCTGTATCTGATGTGCTTTTGGTAAAGATTTGTTCCCATTCTGTAGGCTCCATATTCACTACACTGATTGTTTCTTTTGATAAGAATATTTTTAGTTTGATTCCATCCCATTTATTGATTCTTGGTTTTAATTCTTGAGCTTATAGGAGTCTTATTAAGGAAGTTGGGGCCTAATCCGACATGATGGAGATTTGGGCCTACTTTTTTGAAGCTTCTCTTTTAGTTCAAAAGAATATTTTTCTAGTGGAGTGGGAGTGTCTTATGTTATTTTCTAGGATCATGAACTATATAGAAGAGAGACAACAGAGTTTGTGAAGCATGGAGGTACCTCCCATGTTATCGGATACCACTCAGAACTTGTACCCCTGTAACTTTAATACTTCATAAGTGAATGTCTGCCAGGAAAAAGTGTTGTCAATTTGGTGTTAGCAATGGTACAGATATTTCCTTAATAATGGATGCATAAGGCACAATGGCATTTCTCTGATAGTGAATCAATGAAATTTTTTGATGAAGCTTGGTATTTCTGTAAAACTGGAAATTCTTTGGAATATTGATTGATATGACCAACTCTAGAGATAAAAGTTTAGCTCATTAATTCAATAGGATACTTAAGACCTTTTACTACTGCACTTTAGGAATGGGGTCATTGAAAAAAAAAGATACAGTCATTATCCTTAAGAAGTGTTTTGTTTTGATGGAATGTGATGGCAATCAAATAATACATTGTAAGGTGAAAGAGCAGTTCATGTGGAAGTGCAGGGTGCTAGAAAGAAGAGGCTGCTCTTCATTTATTTTATATAGTATATATAAAACATCATATGTTTATGTTCCTGAGGTCTAAGATTTTCAGTTCAATTGAGAAATAAGAAAACTTGTTAATAAATTGTTCTTGTTGTTTTCCAGGATGGCTGCACCCCACTTTTACTTGCCCTAAAGGAAAACAAACACCGTATGGCAGAATTTTTAATTAAGGCAAAAGCAAATATACATGCGGTTGACATGAGAGGAAGGTATAGTAGTTTATTCTTTAAAAACACTCACTCAGGCCAAACATTAAATTAATGGGAAGGAGAATATTAATTTATACATATTGGATTAGAGTGAAAAATATGAACACAAACCATGTTTTAGTTAGAAATCGTTGATTCTGTTGTTCACATATGTTATGGTTTGGATATGAGGTATTCCCCAAAACTCACCTGTGAGACAATGCAAGGAGGTTCAGAGGAGAAATAATTGGGTTGTGAGAGTCTAAACCCAATCAGTGAATTAATCCCCTGTCAGGGATTACCTGATTAAGGGAGTGGTAACTGCAGTGTGGTAGGGTGTGGCTGGAGGAGGTGGGAATTAAGGGCATGGCTTTAGGGTATATATGTTTGTGTCTGGCAAGTGCAGACCTCTCTCTGCTTCCTGATCACCATGATGTGAGCTGCTTCCCTCTGCCATACTCTCTTGCCATGATGCTCAGTCTCACCTTGAGCCCCTGGGAATGGAGCTGTCTTCTATGGACTAAGACCTATGACACCATGAGTACTTGAATAAACATTTTCTCTTCTACAATTGTGCTGGTTTGGTCCTTTAGTCATAGTTGTTAAAAAGCTGACTAAAACAACATGATCATATATGACCAAAAGTTTTAAATAAGTATAAATTTTGGCATTTTTGCTTCAATAATGAATTTCTTAACCTCTGTATTGATTTTAACTTCCATTTTTTATGCTTTTCCTTAAAATGGTATATTGAGCATAAATAGGCTTTGATAATCTTTCTTTTTCCATTTTGATGGCTCTAAATTGCTTTGTTTGAAGAATATTGATATTAACTTATTCCTAATTGAACATTAATTGCTATTGCTAGATGTTTTTCATTTTCTAATATATTTTGATGTTATTCTTCCCTTTTTTCAAGATTTTTTATTCTAATTAGTAATGCATAGCAGTAGAAAGCTCTTCAATTTATTATACACAAATGGAGCAGAATTTTTCACTTCTCTCATTATGTATGGAAGTAGGATCACACCATTCGTGCAATTGTGGATGTAGTGATGTCCAAATCTTTCCACTGTCTTTCTTATGCCTTTATTCCCTCACTTCTCCCCTTTGCCCAATCCAAGGTTCCTCCAGTTATCCCATGCTTCCCCTATATGGATTAGCGTCCATTTATCAGAGAAAACATTTGCCCCCACTTTTTTGAAATTGGCTTATTTTGTTTAGCATAATGTTCTCCAAATCCATCCATTTACCTGTAAAAGTCATAATTTTATTCTCTTTTAATTGTAATATTATGTTGTATATATGTACCACAGTTTCTTCATCCATTCATCTATTGGAGGGCATCTAAGTTGCTTCTACAGTTTAGCAATTGTGAATTGTGTTGCTATAAACATTAAAGTGTCTGCATCACTGTTTTAAGTTTGCTGTTTGAAGTCTTCAGGTTATAGACTGAGGAATGGAATAGCTGTGTCCAAACGTGGTTCCATTCCAAGTTTTCTAAGGAATGTCCATACTGCTGTCCAGATTGGTTGCACCAATTTTCACTCCCACCATCAATGTATGAGTGTGCCTTTCTTCCACATCTTTGCCAACACTTATTGTTGCTTGTCTTCTTGATAACTGTCATTTCTGACTGGAGTGAGATGAAATCTCAGAGTAGTTTTGATTCACATGCTTTTCTTTTTTTAAATACATTTTTTTAGTTGGAGATGGGCACAATAGCTTTATTTTATGCATTTTTTTCCTGTGGTGCTGAGGATCAAACTCAATGCCTCACATGTGCTAGGCAAATGCTCTGCAACCCCAGCTCTGATGCTTTTATTTCTAATTGGCAAGGGCTGAGGGAAGAAAAACAGCTTTAATGGCACAAACATTTCCTTTAATGAAGAAATAGGTGTGTGATGAAGAGAAAGAAGATAAGCTTTAAATTCTCACATGATGGTGTTGCATTTCTAGCTTTCCTAGTTATAAAGTGTGACACTTTGGAAACATTACTTATCACTAAATATATTTCCTGATATGAAAAAGAATGAAACATGTTTGAAGGGTGGTACTAAGATGATACATATAGCATGATTTTAATCCTTACCAAATGCTTTTTTTCATTGTTATTAACTGAAGCAATAATGACGAATTATCACCATTATTATTATTATAGAGGTTGTTTTAAGTCTGCTCACAGCCTTTGTTTGCTTGACTTTTAGGTGACTATGAGTTATAATCTATCACATCAGACTGAGGAAGAAATGGAGCATTCTTCATTGAAATCTCTTGTTTGCTTCAGATAAATAACCTCATCTCAGTTATTGTCCATCAAGTGATTTTATGTTTATAACTTGTAATTCCCCATTGGGGCAAGAGGTTTCCTCTTTGTTTTTGTCCATTTAGACTGAGAGATGATTTGCAGAGCTGATCCCCCAAGATGCTTATGTCTGTTAAGATATGTAAAGGAAGATACTAAATTGAAAAGATACATAAAATTAGCTCTTAAAGTACCTAATAAAAAAGTTATTTCTCCATTATTTTAGAACAGCCCTCATGCTTGCAGTGAGGTATGAATCACCAGATATAACCAATCTTCTTATTGAAGGAGGTATTGATGTCTCTGTGGAAGATGTGGATGGAGGGACTGCATTATGTTATTCTGTAGCTAGTGGCTGCAATATGTAAGTGTTTTAATTAAAGTACTAATCAACGTTAAGTGGAGGTTAAAAATAAGCACAACTATTGCATCTTATATATCATTTAAGTGTTCATAGTTCAAATATGTTAGGAATGGCAGTTACTGAGTCCCTTCATCAGCCATTAACACTGCAAAAGTCTAGTCTAATTAGCAATAATGATTAGTGCAGGACATATTACAGAACTTTTTTTCTTTTTCTGCTGGTGTTATGGTGTTGAGGATTGAATCCAGGTTCTCAAGCATGACCTCTCTCACTGAGATACACCTCCATCCCATATCTCAGAACATTAAAATGTTTATTCTTCTAGATCTCAGCATTATCCACTTCATTCCAAGTATAAAGTCTCCTACGGCAACTGTGATTTTTCTTATTAGGTATTTGCAGTTTTAAATGCTCAGTTTAGTAAAAAATCTCCTTACTTTCCTCTGAGACCTAGCTTTTCCACTATCATTCTTGAATCTCCCCAGAATTTGTGAATTCCTTAAGTTCAAGGAAGACAGTTCTCTTTTACCACTCAGCTGGAAGGGAAAAATGGACTTTAAAATCATTATATATTTATGTCATTTCTGTCAATTGTATTGTGCAGTGTTGATATTAGAACTGGTTAACTTTTACTACCCAGTTGTCCTGACTGATCACTATCCCTAAGTGGAAATACCAATATAGGTTTGAAAGTTACACTTATTTTTGAAGTTCCCATTTGCATGTGTGGTTATGCTCACTTATGATTCCCAAAGCATCTGCATTCTGCTTTGGCATGTAAGCCATCTAGCTTTAGTCACATGCATAGTGAGCAAACCATGTCCTCCACTTAAATCCTTACATAGAGCCCATGTGTTAGCCAAACCCTTCATGGTGAGCTATTCTTTGAGGCTTTCATTTGTCTTTTCTGCAAATATTTGTTGGAATCATTTAAAAACTATCAGATACTTTAAATAATGTCATAGGAAGAGATCAGTTTCCTTTCATGTTTGCTAACAGATTAATTATACCCCAAAGCCTCATTATGTCCTGTGAAGAACCTTTCTTTGATAAGGGGAGGTCTTATATTACTGTTTCCAAGAGAGAAGTGTGATGACTTTTATTGGCATCTCTAGTAACTTTTCAACTGTGATGAAGATTTCTCAAAATACTTGCCCATCTGCTTGAAGGTTTCAGAATATTTCAAGTTCTGCCTCACTGGGAAGTCATTAAACAGCATTCTAAGTTCTAAGAGAGTTAAGATATCTAATTCAGTTAAGCCCTATAGTGAAACATGGGTATCTGTGTATAAAATAGTATTTTGTCATCCAAGGCAGTTGAAGATGAACACGAAGACTACGCATCATCCTAACAAAGATCTGCTGGTTCAAAATTTGACTTGATAGAGAAGGAATAGTAGCAGGCCAAGTCAAATTTTAACCATTTGTTAATTTTCTGCCCTCGGTGCAATTGCTTAGTTCCATAACAGGGGAAATTATATTATGTAATTTAAGGATATAATATATTCATAAATAAGTTGGATTAAAAATTATTCCAATGCTGATTTGCCCTAAATTATAAGGCCTAAAGAAAAACACAGTCAATATCCAAAATAAAAACCTAATAGTATTTTCTAATAACTGTAACTTTTGAATATTAAATCTTGTGATAGCAATTGGCTTTCCAAATAAAGAAATAATTATTTCATTACTATTTTTCTTAGCATGTTTTAATATTATCTCCTTAAATCTTCATAACAACCTGGTGAACTAGTGAAGTGTGGTTTAATTTTTTAGAAGTAGACTTGAGCACACGTGAAATGACTTGTGCAAGATCAAAGAGCTATTGTTTACAGAGAGAGGATCTGAATTCAGAACATTTTTCTTTCTGTCAAGCTACTCTAGTTAATGTATTGAGTGGTATTGTCCTTAATGCATAATTATTTCACCTTTCTTTTTTCTTCTTCATTACAAGCCTATGATGCAGTGGAAAATGCCTTAACTGCAGAGGAAAATGCCTTAACTGCAGATACTTGGGCCTGGGGCAGGAGGATCACTTGAGCCCAGGAGTTCAAGACCAGCCTTCGCACCACCATGGTGAAACCTCAGCTCAAAAACAATACAAAATGAAAACATAAAACCATACAAATAACTATATGGTTACTAGAATATTTACTGCCTCACTGATCTGGAGTCTGAGAAGTCCAATATCAAGACTCCAGAGGGTTTAGCCATTCTGATTCCCAGGTAGTGCCCTTATTATATCCTTAGGTCACCTAAGATTGAACAACAAAGAGACAAAAGATAAATAAATTTACTCTTCTATAGTAATACTAGCCCCATGCATGAGGGCAGAATCCTGATGACCAAATCATTTCTCAAATATCTGAATTTTTAGTATCGTTACACTGGCAATTAAATTTCAATAGGAGTTTTAGAGGGAACAGACATTCAAATGATAACAAGAAACAAGGCCTGACAGGCATTAAAATGATTTTCTAGAACTGGTTTATTTGAACCTCTGCACAATTTTCTGGTGGGAAGATGGAGGTATGAAAATGATCTTCCCCAATATAATTATTGCTCCCATTCCAGGCAAAGCAGAGCACACATATTTCTTCTACAGCCTATAGCCCAATATCAGAGCCACCCATGCCCTCTACTCTTATCTTATAGAGAAAGATGCTATATATTTAAAATGGAAAGGTGAAGCCCTGGAGCTCCTGGGAACAATGGAAGCCTGGCTGGGGCACAAAGCCAGGAAACTAGACTGGCTGGTCTGTTCCAGAGGAAGCTGGCATCTCATTCACTTAGAGTTGTTTTTTCTTTCTCAAATTGCTTTGTTTCCATGGTTTCATTTTAATTTTATTTCAGCCATGTTTGTGTACCCAGGAAATAACTGTGACATTTAAAAAGTGAATTATTAGTCATACTCTGAATATGAATAAACTTTTAACTACAATCTCAAAGGAAATTCTCTACTAGGGTATAGCCTTCCAGAAATCCCAAGCCATAATTAATGACTGCACATCCAATATGCTCACATGGGCTAGAAATGTTTCTCAGGAGTAGAGCACTTGCCTAGCAGACACAAGGCCCTGGATTTAGTCCACCACAAAAAATTAAAAAATAAAGAACAACAATATTTACATTTTTTTGTCATCACAAATATTTTTTTGTGGATCAGTTTTCCCGTCATGTCATAGTTTTAATCTATGGCTTTATCTAATCTCAGTTCTTTTTTTATTGATTTAAAAAAATGACACTGGAATGCATTATAATTCTTATTACATGTATATAGCACAATTTTTCATATCTCTGGTTGTATATAAAGTATATTGACATCAATTCATGTCTTCATACATGTACTTTGGATAATGATGTCTATCACATTCCACCATCCTTGCTAACCTCCTGCTCCCAGCCTTTCCCTCCTATCCCTCTGCCCTATCTAGAATCTCAGTTCTTTTAAATTCTGTTGGTTCCCTCTACCCCAGTATTTCTAGTTTATAACTATATAACAGTGTTTAGGCCTGGCTCCAGTAAGGTTAATGAACCAGTTTCCTAGGGAGATGATGGTGATCCAAGCTGTGTCATTGGAAGTTGTCATCTATTGAATTCAAGAGGTTCTGCACAAACAATAGATATTTGAGTCCTTTGAAAATCATTAGCCAGCTTGTTCTGGTGTAGCACTTATAGTGGAACTGCCAAGGTAGGCCCTACTGGGAAATACCAGAATATCCATCATGGTTTTTATTCTTGGGGAGATTAGACTATATAACTGGGGAGACAAAACTGAAAATTGTGAACTAGCAGCAAGTGGCAAAGTATAGTTCAATGTTAAATGAGGGAATTTGGGCCCTTGTGCTGTAGTGTTTCACAGCAGAGGTGTCTGTGCTGATAAGTTTTATAAGAAAAGGAGTTGAAGCTTAGGCTGTGCTTTTTAAATTGATGTACTTAGATAGTTAAAAGATGAGGAAAAGGCATTTCAGCATTGCATTCCAAAAAACTTGACTGTAAACATACCTAAAAGGATGAGAATGATGTGTTTCCCTAATAAAAAGGAAGATTTATGCCACAGCTTGGGTCACCACAATTACAGTGATGACCTGGGAGCAGTTGCCACAGAGAGTAAATCCAGCTAAGCACAAAGCCCCAAGGGCAAATCCAGTCTCAACACAAACCATCCCAAAGAAGTAGCTGAGCTCATGCTAAAGCAGAGGTAGGGGTGAGTTCTGGGTCTAAGCATAGAAACCTGTGGGCTAGCAAATTGGAGAAAACAGAGTGTTGGTTAGTTTCAGCACAGAATTGCTGACACAGGGCATTTCTAAAAGTGAAGGATCCAGGTGTGGTGGCACCCACCTGTAATCCTAATGGCTCAGGAGGGTGAGGCAGGAAGACTTTGAGGTCAAAGCCAGCCTCAGCAACTTAGCAAGGCACTTAGCAACTCAATGAAACCCTGTGTCTAAATAAAATATAAAAAGGGGGCTGGGATTGTGGCTTAGTGATTAAGCACCCCTCAGTACCTAGAAAAAAAAGCAAAGGAAACTTGCCTCTAGGCAACACTGGTCTGTCCTCAGTGCATCCTTCAGCCTGTTGTAAGAGAATCTGACCAAAGCAAAGGTCTCTTTGGGCAGTGGCTCAATAAGGAACTACAGGCAGAGGAGAAAGCAGACTGTGTGAAAGCTCCAGTAAGGTCTTCACATTCCCTAAGACTGGGAGTTGCTGAAGCTCATTGCATAGGAAAAGTTTGACTTAAGTGAGGTGGATAGTCGGGGAAAGACCCCCCAGTGAAATGGGGCAACTGTGAGGCCAAGATAATTACTGGGTGTGAGCTGATAGAGACTAGCTGAGTGTGGGCCATGGAGGAAGATGCTTGGATGTTTCTAGTTCGAGTGAGTGTTTGGCAAATGGCAGAATATTGAAGGAATCAGGAAAGCTGGAGAGGAGACAGGGCTCAGACATTTTGAATACACTGAGTTTGAGATAATGGTGGATAGTCAGCCAGTAACTGAAATAAGGAACTAGAATTGTAAGCAAGCAAGAGAGTTATAAAGATCCTTACCAGAGATAAAATGGTCAGATACCAAGGAGAAGAGAGAGATCAGGCAAAATGCTCAGGACCAGAAAAAACACATGGTTTTTAGAAATATATAGAGCCTGATGTTTTTCAAGTATGTTCTCAGACACATTCTTCATAAGAATCCATGTTTATGCTGCTGGGAAATACTGTTAAACTTAGTAGCCTCTAAGAGATGTACTTATGACTAGTAAATATCTGATTTTGAGAATTTGCATTGTAAAGAAACCTCTTTATCTTTAACCTAATAGGCCCCCAATTTATTTTGATTTAAAAATAATTTTGCAAGTTGCCAGTTAATAATCCTGTTTTCTTTGCTCCAGTTCACCATGGACTCTGTTTAGTAGCAGATCTCTTAGGACAAGAACTTTGTGCTGATTGTCATCCTGACTCATGATGTAGCCAGGTTGTGTGTCATTTATGACTTCAGAGAATAAATATGGAATGTAAGATATAGGCTATTAGTTAAAAGAATGCCTTTCTCCAGTACCTAATACCTTGTAACTCCAGATTTATCACGAAATGAATAAGTATGTAAAATGATGTTTGTCAGGAGCATTGAAAATGACAAAAATTTTATCTCACAATAATTTAAGTTACAAAAGGGAGTAAATTGGCTCACAGAATAAGAAGTTCTAGGACCTACAGCACAGACCAAACCAAGGGCTGAACACATGTCATGATGCCTATTCTCTCTCCTCTCTGCCATGTTTTTTCTGGGGTGGCTTCCTGCTCACAATGCAGTTCTCCATAAAGTACATACTTTTCACAACTGGCAGTTCCAACAGAAGGGGCTTGTCTCCCCCTGTAATTTCAGTAGAGTGCTCCAATAGGTTAGCCAGGTCACATGCCCACCTCTGTCACTGTGGCCAAGAAATAGAATATTGAAATAGGTCAGATGAAGGCCATGTCTTCACTCCTAGTGTGAGATAAGAGAGATCTGTATTATTCCCACTCACCTGAAACACAGGAAATAGAGAGGGAAGACAGAAATCCCCCCAACCAATACTGAATAAGTAAAACATGACAATGTGATTTTGGTGGTGGGGATTGTGGTGATTTTGACAGTTAGCTCCAGCCCCTTCCAGGTGATAGCTGATGATCTTTCTTTCAGATTAGGGATTTTTGCCATTCAGGACTGTTTTCAGGTTTATTTTGTTTTACAATAGCACAACATTCATGAAAAATAATCCTTACAAATGCAATTAGGTAATTAGACCAATGGTGGTTTAGCATCCAGTAATTTTCTTTCTTTTAATTTCTGGAATGGAATTAAAGAAATGCATCCTTCACTTTCCAACTTTATGTAGGGAAGATCTAAACATTCCTGTGCAGTCTTCTTATGAGACTTTCCAGGGTTCTGAAGAAATATGAAGCCAATTCTTCCCTGACATCCCTGGGGTGTCATTGAGATTCAGTGGGTTTTACCCTAAAAGAATTGACTAATACTGCATAATTTTCATTAGTTTAGATATTTGTTTAAAGAAGTGCATTAAGGACTGTTAAAGTGCTTACAATTTCACATTGGTGGCATGAGTTGAATTACCTTTCCATAAAGAACAACATGTATAAAGCCCTACAAGGAAAATTAGAGACTTAAATAGTTTTTGTGATAGGCAAAGTGGAAAGTAAGTGCTGCATTGAATTGTGAGTCAGCATTATGTCAACTTCATGATGATATACAAGACCACCAATAAAAAGAAAACCTGATATAACATCAGAAATAAACAGGTGTTCTAGTCTTCTTTGGGTTACGTGAGCCTATACCATCCTTAACAATGTTTAAGGACTGTTTTACAGCAATCAGTAGTAGCTGATTATTACTATAATTCTGGCGCTCTTAATCCTAAAATATAATATATTCCATATTTGTAGCCCATAATTATTTATAAGTTTAAAAAAACAATTGTATATCTCTGTGACACCTCTGGCTTGATGGTTTGAATAAGACTCAGATTGCTCTCCAGATGAAATAGAAACCTGCTTCATGATTCTGAACATAGCTCCGATCTCACACAGACTCAGCTCAAGGAAGGATGGATGGAGAGAATATGAAAATGTATGTGTGTAAACATAT